CTGATATGGTAGCAGAATGATAGGATAAAAGAAACTTTGATTTGTTTATCAGCTATATCTATGTTCATATGCTGCCTCTCTGTGTTATTGAACTCCTTTGAGTTTTTTCCCTTCACTCTTAATTTATTTTGAGGATTAAACAAAAGGACAATTAAATAAAATTCAAAGTACTGTGGTTGGCATGTAGTCAGCATTAATAAGCCACCAATCACAGCTCTTGGAATATGTCATATCCTTTCATTGCTGCATTACAATATTGAGTTTATAACAGGGGAATAATTTAAATATCATTGCACATTCAAGAGACTCTGAAATAAGACTCAACAGCATAACATTTTTACTTTACAATGTACTTTGCTGAAATCTGAAGTCCTCAAGCCTCCTGCATCTGCGTAGGCTTTCCAATCATGATAGAACATTGAGAAATAACAGGAAAAATGTCCAGATGCGTAACTTGGAAAACAAACTAAATGAGGCCATTTTGGGAAATGGCTCATAGGTCTTTGGGGGCAGGTTTACACATACCTTTCCTTCTGATACCTAATAAAGGTAGTTTAAATGAGATGTCTGCTTTAGTATGTGGCATATTGACATAGATGAAGTCTCACGCTATGGAAGTACCTTAGAAAGGAAGTATATGACAAAGAATATGCTTCTAAAATGCTGGAAACTCATTAACATTTCAAAGTGAATGAGTTCAAAAATATATTTCAGGAATTCCAGGAACTGGCTGCCCCCAAAATATGGTTTATAGCCATCTGATAGTGGAGGCATGAACATCCTCACTTGTTGACATTTAAGGAGAAACTTGGAGATTAGGGGGAGATTTATGAGTTTGATTCTAGTCAGTGGATGGTTCAAGCGCAGACACTAACATTCATCTACGGACCCTTTATATTGGAAAACAAAAGCCGAGAAAGAAGATCCAATTATTTTTACCATAATTATGCGGGTGTTATAATTTTACAAAGAGTAGGTATAAATATGTTTTACCAAAAGCATACACATTTATTCCTCAGGCAGACCAGAGTGATTAGACCATCAAAGGAAAATTAGCTTAAGTGATAATTTGTGTGTTTTCATGTACACATATACACCAATGCTGGCTGTAGTTTTACTGATACTGAGAAAACAAACTGGAATTGAAGTACTGACAGTTTTTGCCTACCCCACACCTTTTCCAGGGTATCACAGCTTCTTAACCCATTTTGCAAAGTTGTTAATAGTTCAACCAAAGACCCCATTGATATTTTTTAATCTTTAATATTTTGCAAGATATTAAAAGGGATTTGAACCAGAACTTTATCACTCTGTAGAAAAAAAGTGATATGTCCTGAAGTATCATGGAGCTGGTGTACCAGATGTTATGGGCTTATGAAGTAATAGAGGGGAGAAATTAGGAGACAAGGAAACAAAAATTGTGATGTGTGATGGCTTCTATAGGTCTATCCATTGAAGCCTTGCTATATCAAGACACCCTTTCAATTATACTATTCAGAAAACATATTTAAGCTGTCAGTAAAAAAGATCTGTTTACTCTTTTTCCATCAGAGTTCAAAGTGTGTTTGGTACAAGGAAAACACACATGGTTATATACCATCCTCTTGAGGATTGCTAGGCAGGCAGGAATGCTAGTCAGCACACAGTTGTCTAATATGGATGAATTTCCACTTTAAACAGTGCTTCTACTTCAGAAAGTAGTTACTAAGCATCTCTTTGGGACAAAAATAGGCACACTGTTCCAAAGGCTTCATGAAATAATAACTTTTGCGATTCCTTTCTAATAAATTGTTTCTGATATTACTATGTACTTGGTAAGTTACACACAAATTTACCAAATTTACATTCTAAGATGCTCTACTTTTTCTTTCCAATAGCCACAAATCATGCCCCAATGTTTTTGTAAAGAAATTGATTGATAATATTAAGGAACTGGATGTGAAACTCTAGTATTATGTTTGCATGCCAATTCATCCACTTACTCAAAACAGGGAAGCCTTTCCATTGAACTCCATTGTGCACCTGCTTTGAATTTCTTTTATTTAAGCATTTTTAGTATGTGAGACTATTTAGTGTGAGACTATTCAGTGTGGTGCTTGAAAGATAGAATTATTTTCAGTCCCTTTGGGGTTTCTATTCTCATTTCCTTTTCTTTCATTTGAACTTATTGAGAGAAAAGAATAGAAAATTCAGCATAGGTAGCTCTAAATTTCCAAAAGAAGTTTTACAACTAGTGGTAGAATTTTTAGTTAGAAACACTATCTACAAAACAGGATTAATCAAAAGGAGAATAGCTTGGCCAGGCACGGTGGCTCACACCTGTAATTCTAAACACTCTGGGAGGTCGAGGCAGGCAGATCATTTGAGCTCAGGAGTTCCAGCCCAGCCTGAGCAAGAACAAGACCCCATCTCTACTAAAAAAAAAAAAAAAAAAAAAAAAAAAAAGAAAGAAATTAGCTGTATAACTAATATATAAATAGTATATATATATTATATATAATATAGCCAGGCATGTTGGCACATGCCTGTAGTCCCAGCTACTCGGGAGCTGAGGCAGTAGATTGCTTGAGCCAGGAGTCTGAGGTTGCTGTGAGCTAGGCTGATGCCATGCACTCTAGCCAGGCAACAAGAGTGAGACTCTATCTCAAAAAAAAAAAAAAGAAAGAAAAGAAAAGAAAAAAAAGAAAAATAAGGTACCATGAAAAGTAAAATAAATACAGTAATAGGGGGGAAAAGGGCATTTATTGAAACCTTAAAATCTGTACCCCCATAATATGCCGAAATAAAACAAAAACAAAAACAAAATAAAAGCAAGACATAAAAACAAATTGAACAGTGCTGAACAATTCATAGTACAATACCCAGAAGGTATTGAACCAAATAATATTTTTAAAAACCCTGAAAGGCATAGGTACTGTTATTATAAAACTGATTATATCCATGAAAAGGCATTCTTTAAAAGCAATGTCCCCATTTCGTTTAGGACACAGCATTTAATGGGTTAAAACAAACTCACCTTTTCAACAAGGATAGCTAGATGTATTTTGACAGTACCCAGCAATTGATTAGCCCTCCTGAGTAAAAAAACATTGCTCATGTAGCCTTTCCTCACAATAAATTATTTTTAAAATGAAAATTAAATAAATAAATAAATAACAATAATTGAGAAAACATCACAGAAATAATTCTAAAACCCCAAAGGGACTGAAAATAATTCTATCTTTCAAGCACCACACTGAGCCTTGACACTAGAGGGAGGCAGCACATCTAAAATGGGTTAGGACCTGAAACACAAACTGAAAGATTGCTAACTGACTTGGGTTCTAGCTCTAAGTAAAGGAGTCACAAGAGGGTCTGGTACAGCTGCAAATCCAAGCTCCTTCTAGGGTGAGGGAGACATTGTCATTGAGTTGTACAAAGAATTTATGCTCATTCCTTTTGCCACCTTGTACTTCATAATCTCTTCTTGAGTGTGTGCACATCTTCAAAGATATATGTGTAAGCCCCTTCCCAAATGCAGAGCAGAGCTGACCTCGATGGAAAGAAAAGAGAGGTGATTAATACATAGTTCAGTTTTAAATGGTAAAATATTTGTTGTCATTTGTTAGACTGACAAGCTTAGTTATTTAGCAGAGAAGGATGAGTGCTTTTAATTTTATTCCGTCCCATTTGTTTTTATTTATTTATTTTTTTCAGAGACAGGGTCTTTCTCTGTTGCCCAGGCTAGAGTACAGTGGCCCAATCATAGTTCACTGTAACCTCAAAGTCCTGGGCTCAAGCAATCCTCCTGCCTCAGCCTCCTGAGTAGCTGGGACTACAGGCACATGCCACCAGGCCAGGCTAATTTTTTTTTATGTTTTGTAGAGATGGTTCCTTTGCTATGTTGCCCAGGCTGGACTTGAACTTCTGGCCTCATGCAATCCTCCTGCCTCATCCTCCCAAAGTGGTGGGATTAAAGGCCTGAGCCACTGCATCCAGCCCCCATTTCTTTAATAACCACTTTTAAGAATAACTAGGGAAATTCTTTTGTTCTTGTACCTCTCTTGTCAAAAAGCGGCTTCTCATTCCCCTCTCTGAATCTTCTCTTCCTTTCTCTGTAGTGTCCTCAGTGCATGCCATTCCTAGGCATGAGCATGAAGACTAGAAAATGTTTTAAAGAGGGGCTTATGTGGGGTATAAATAGGTACCATTCAAGTCATCGGCTTCTGTCTCCAAACCAGAGACACACAGCAATGTCCCTCTAGAAACTTAGGACACAATTCTAGGAGCCAATGTGGGAGGCCTGAATACCAGGAGACTTGGCCTTTAGCCCAAGTTCTCACTTTATCTTTTCCTGTCACCACGCTGAGCACAGCAAGATTATGCAACTATGAGATTTTTTTGTTATCTATATTTTGCAAGTATTTTCTTCTACAATGTCATTTGATTTTTAACTTAGCTTATGGTGAGTTTTTCGGACCAGAAAGAAGTTTCTAACTTTTGAATTGTAATTATGTATTACTGCTTTTAAAACTTACTTGCTCTGGAGATATGGATAGCAATTCTCTTCTTCTCCTTACAGCACAAGGATCATGTAGATTTCTTAAAATAAAGGGCATTTACTACCAGCTCAATGGAGCATCTAACTCCCAACTAGTGGTGGGTCTTTGCCCTTACCAGAAATAAGAGATGGATAATCTCATTGCGAAAGGTTTTACTCATTTAGTCTCGGCCTGCTTAAGCTTGAACCTTGAGAACAATCTCGGTGGAAACCTTCCGAATTAGGGCCAGACATTGGGGAAAACATCCTTACCCTCTTTTTCAAATTTTATTTTAATTGAAAAATAGTAATCGCATCTTACCCTCTTTTTAAATGTATGCATAAGCCTTGGGGGTCAGGATAGACCTAACCAGAAGGCTGCTCCCTTTAGCAGACGCCGGGCGGGGGGGGGGACTCAGAATGAAAGCTGGCTGGCGTGACGATGTGTGGCGGCTGCATTCGCAGCTGGAGACCTCCCCCAGCCTAGCATCAGACACAGGTCCTGAGCTCTGAGGCCTGCAACCTCAGTGTGCACTTGAACTATGAGGCTGGTGACAGCAATTACTGTACTCCTAACTTTAGGTAAGTGTTCTGGGCCTAAGAGAGGCTGGCTTTTGTGGCAAAGACAAAGGAGAGGTATCTGCTATCTCCACGTCTCCCACTGCAATTTACCAGTTGCTGGGAAGAATTTGTGCCTGTGTGTTTCTCTAGGGACTCTGAGTAACAGTATGAGAGGCTGGTCATAACCATGACTCACAGAGGATCCCCCATGCCTCACAGCTCTCAGACTGTACGGAGTTTGGACTTCATTGAACTCAAGGGCTGTGGGAGGTGGGCTATTTATCTTTGGCCTTGTGGCTCCAGATTGCTCAGGAATAAATACCGGTAATATTTCTCTTGTCCTGTGCAACACACATGAAAATACTCAAGTATGGGGTAGGGGCCAGGGAGGAGATTTCTGGGAGTGTTTATAAAACTGACTTTCAGGTGCACCAAGTTGTGACAATCCAGAGTGAATCCATTGTTTCTCAACCCCTCAGGTATTATGGGTGACGCTAAGACCACCCAGCCAAATTCAGTGGAGTGTACTGAAGAAGAACCTGTGTACTTGCCTTGTAACCACTCCACAATCAGTGGAAGTGAGTACGTATACTGGTATCGACAGATTCTCCTCCAGGGTCCAGAGTATGTGATTCATGGTCTAAAAGGCAATGTGACCAATAGCATGGCCACTCTGGCCATCTCTGCTGACAGGAAGTCCAGTACCTTGATCCTGCCCCGAGTCACCCTGGGAGACACTGCCGTGTACCACTGCATCGTGAGAGCCCACAGTGGGACAGATGGGGCTGCACCTGTGCAGTATCTCCCGGAGGGGAAGGGAGCAGCAGCAGCCTTCTAAAGAGGCCGCTGCACAAGGACGAGCAGAAGCTCAACAGAGGAAAGAGAAAATAAAGGAGAAAGGGGCAAAGAAGTAAAGAGAAAATGGTGAGGAAATCAAGGAGGAGCAGACTAAAGGAATGAAGACATTGAGGAAGAAGAGCTGAATAAGTCCTAAAGAGGTCCTAGAGAAAGCACTGAGAAGCTTGCCAGGAGACCAAAATTCACAATTGCAATTCTTCAATGAAGAAGACGGAAAATGAGAATATTCCAGGACCATTTCTTCTAATCAAACATTGCATTCTGTGTAGGTCTCACTGTAAAAGATGAGAAAAGCCTTTTGTTTGTCCCAAAGACTTTCTGCATCTGGACCCAGAGAAGTGCCCAGGCTCTGGATATTGTATCATGTTAATCCTTCTAACCTCTCTAAAATTTAAATGCATTTCAGTAATTGATTCATTTGCTGTTTAGAAAAACTTGAAATTTTCTTCGTTGCTCATCAGTAGCATGCATTCTTGGAATGCAGATAATATTTGGAAGGGAACAAAAAAGGAACAGATATGTGGATATTAATTTCATTTTTAATCTATGTTGAAGTATTTTTATTACACAAGAATACACAAGTCTTTTTCCATTGTAAAATACACAAGCTGTTACATAGGTATGTATGATAAAACCTGAAAGCCCCAAACTGACGCTACCCATTTCCTCCTCAACATCCATAATGACCCATTTTGACAGTTTGGAGTGTGTGCCGAATCAGATTCCTTTTCATTAACATGGATACTCATTCATATAAACAGATACCCAATTTATTACACAAATGGGATCATACTATGTGTATTTTTCTGTAGCTTGTTTTTATTTTTTTATTTAAAAATGGTTCTTTTGAGGTGTGATCATACCAGGATACATGCATCTGTGTGTGTAAATTGACTTTATTCTTTTCAAAACCTGCAAAAATCTTGGTAGTATGATTATATAATAATTTAACTTGCTTGCCTATTAATAATATTTAATTTTTTTAGTTTTCTTAGTTGTCATGTTAAAATCATATATGTGGCCAGGCGAGGTAGCTCACACCTGTAATCCTAGCACTCTGGGAGGCCAAGGCAGGCTGATCATTTGAGCTCAGTAGCTTGAGGCCAGCCTGAGCAAGAGCAAGGCCCTGACTCTACTAAAAATAGAAAGAAATTAGCCAAACAACTAAAAATATATAGAAAAAATTAGTCAGGCATGGTAGCACATGCCTGTAGTCCCAGCTACTTGGGAGGCTGAGGCAGGAGGATTACTTGAGCCCTGGAGTTTGAGGTTGCTGTGAGCTAGGCTGATACCATGGTACTCTAGCCTGGGCAACACAGTGAGACTCTGTCTCAAAAAAAGAAAATCATATATGTATTTCTTATAGTTTCCTAGAAGTTTAATTGCTGGGTCAAAGGATAAGCCTATTTTATATTTTTATAAATATTAAAAAGTTGCATTCCAATATGGTTCTATTAATTTATGCTGCTAGGTACAGGGAAAGGGAAATCTATTTCCTTGCATCTTTAATTAACAACACTATTATCAATCTTTTTAGATTTTAGATAACTTGAAAGTATTTTGTTAGTATTTTCATTTGTACTTTTATGATTACTATTGCAGTTGAACAACTTTCCCTGTTTTGGGATCCTTGTGATTCCACTTTTGTAGCATGTTGAATAATATTATTTAAGCAGTTCCTAATAGATTATCTTTTCTTATTTGTAAAAATTCTTTTAATATTATGTATATTACTTTGCCTGTTATATATATTGTTAAGTACTTTCTCTAAATATATCTTTAAAATGTGTTTATTCCACTTTTATCCTGATATTTTTACTTATATATTACCAAATCTAAGCCTCCTAAGGCATATTTTCCTCATTCTAAGTTGACAAATATAAATCCCAACATTTTCTTCTCATCAAGAATATTCATTTATTCAGCCTGATCTGGTGGGGACTTGAGAACCCTGCTAGAGTTTAGATATTTGACAAGAGGAGACAGGACTCTTGATTAAAATGATAAGCTCCACAATTCTGCATTTTACCTGAAGAAGGAATGCTGTACAAGGTGATCTTAAAAAAACAAAGACTCATGGATCAAAAGATAAAATGTACTGTTTGTTATGGGTTAAATTGTGTCATACACACAAACAACTTAGGTTCCCTAACTAGCTACATACATTAATACTTGCATATAATTTAGCGAACAAGTTCATCCAGTAGTCCATTGACAGTTGTTAATACTCTTCTCATGTAAAAGGAGTGCATGTTGACAGAAGTTATCTTAAAATACTGCTTTATCCAACCAAGTAATTCGAGTGATAGAATAACAGGTACCAAGAGATGGTACACATAATTTTGGGCAGACGGTGCGTGGAGGAGGGGTTCATTGGGTCTTGAAATGTCCCTTAGAACAGCCTGTAATTATCTAAGTGTAAGGCCCCCAAAAGGCAAAGTCTTCAACATAACTGGTTGTTATGGACTCAATTGTGCCTTCCATTCCAAAAAAATTCATTTGTTGGAGTCCTAACTCCCAGTACCTCAGACTGTAACTTTATCTGATGATAAAGTCTTTACAGTAGTGATCAAGTTTAAATGAGATCAAGAGGGTAGACCCTAATCCAATATGACTAGTGTCCTTACAAAAAGCAGAAATTTGGAGATAGACACACTGACAGAAAGAGTTTCATGTGAACATGAAGGAAGAAATCGGGATGATGTCTCTACAGGCACAGGAGAGAGGCCTGGAACAGATCCTTCTTCCCTCACAGCCTTCAAAGGAACCAACCCTGCTGGCACCTTAATTTTGGACTTCTAGCCTCCAAGATGGTGAGACAATAAATTTTTGTCTTTTAAGCCACCAGTTAGCGGGACTTTGTTACTGCAGCTCTAGCAAGCTAATACACTATTAAAATTCTTTCCAACTGCTTTCCCCATCAGTCATCTGCTTCCCTGGCAGTTAGATACACCTCCCCATCACATCCTGATATCTGCGATGTTCTTCTCTCTAAGTGACACATCTTTTCCTGATTAATCTTTTGCCCAAAAAGAAGCTGCTCAGGAAAATATTCCCCTTAGAAGATAAAATAAAGTAATTCTCATATGAAGAAAGACTAAGAACCCATTACCAGAGATTTGCCTTATGAGGCATTCTAAAGAAAGCTCTTCAAATGAAGAAAATAAAACCAGATGGTAATCTTAATCTACATAAGGAAATAAAGAACATAGGTAAAGGTAATTATACTGATAAATGTAAACAACTGTAAATACATTTTTCTCTTTTATTTTCTTATTTAAAAGATATTGTATAAAACAATACTTTTAAAATTGTATTGTTGGGCTTATACTCTATAAAGATATATATGACAATAAAAGTACAAAGAAAGGGGAAGGGAACAGAACTGTTTTATTTTTTTATTTTTTTGAGACAGAGTCTCACTGTGTTGCCCAGGCTAGAGTGCCATGGTGTCAGCCTAGCTCACAGCAACCTCAAACTCCTGGGTTCAAGCAATCCTTCTGTCTCAGCCTCCCAAGTAGCTGGGACTACAGGCATGCACCACTATGCCTGGCTAATTTTTTCAATATATATTTTTAGTTGGCCAATTAATCTCTTTCTATTTTTAGTAGAGTCAGGGTCTTGCTCTTGCTCAGGCTGGTTTCAAACTCCTGACCTTGAGCAATCCACTCGCCTGGGCCTCCCAGAGTGCTAGGATATACAGGCATGAGCCACCATGTCCGGCAGGAACTATTTTAAAGAAAGGACATACATAACACAAGACAGTAAATTGAATCCACAGGAGAAGCAATGGAAATAGTAGACATTTGGATTGATATAATAGACTCTATAAATAAGTATCTATTTTCTCCTTTCTTCTCTTAATTCACTAAAAAAAGACATAAGACTGTATAAAGCAAAAATCATTATATACTATTATTGGATTTATAATATATATATACCTGATATGTATGACAAAAATAGCCCAAAGGAGAGAGGAAGAAATAGAGCTTTATTAGAGCAAAGTTTCTGTATTTTATTGAAATTAAGTTAGCATTAATCTGAAATAGACTGTGATAAATATAGATGTAATCTCTAAAGCAACTACCAAGTAAATCACTCAAAACTACAATTAAAAAAACAAAAACAGCCGGCGTGGTGGCTCACGCCTGTAATCCTAGCACTTTGGGAGGCCGAGGCGAGCGGATTGCTCAAGGTCAGGAGTTCGAAACCAGCCTGAACGAGACCCCGTCTCTACCAAAAATAAATTAATTGACCACTAAAAATATATAATCAAGGAGATGGAAGATTACCGTAGTCCGCAGCTAAACACGAGAGCTGAGGCAGTAGATCCTGGCCCCAGAGATTGAGGTTGCTGGTGAGCAGCTGACGCCACGCCACTCACTCTAGCTGGGACCAAGTGAGACCTCTGTCTCAAAAAAATAAAAAAAAATAAAATAAAAAATAAAAAAAAAAAAAACACAAATGAATTAGAGGGGTACACAGGAAAATATCTAACACAACACTAAGAAGTAAAGGAAGAGTAAGGGAACAAAAAAGACAAGAAGCATATAGAAAACAAATAGCAAAAATGGCAGACAGAAATCCAAGCATATCAATAATCATGTTAAAGGTGAATGAACTACATACCCACTCAAAAGGCAGAGATGGCCAGACTGGATAAAAAGCAACACCCAGCTATATCCCATCTACAAAAGACACACCTTGATTCAAAGACACAAATAGGTTGAAAGTAAAAAAATGGAAAAGGATATACCATGCAAACATTAACAAAAAACAAGTTTGAGTGGCCATATTAATGTCAATAAAACAGACATGAAGACAAAAATTGTTACTGGATACAAAGAAGGACATTTTATAATGATAAAAACTGTCATATATCAAGAGAATATAACATTTATAAAGACATGCTTCCCAAAAATAGAGCCTAATAGTTAACAGAGCAAAACTGACAGAATTTCAGGAAGAAATAGTCAACTCAACATTACTAGCTGGAGATTTCAATAACCTACTCTTAATAATCCACGAGTAACTAGATAGCAAAATTAATTATATGCAGCAAAAACACTGGAGAGAAATTTAAAGCACCAGAGGTTTATGTTAGAAATGAAGAAAGGTCTCAAACCTAAGCTGTCATGTTAAGAAACTAAAAGAGGAGAGAAAACTCAACTCGAAGCAGAGGAAGGAAATATTACAGATTAAATATTAGAGAAATATTAAAGATTT